CATCGGGTCCAATGAAAATCTTTTGTGACAATACTGGAGCGATTGCCTTGGCGAAGGAATCCACATTTCACAAGAGAACCAAGCACATCAAGAGACGCTTCAATTCCATCCGGGATCTAGTCCAGGTGGGAGACATAGAGATTTGCAAGATACATACGGATCTGAATGTTGCAGACCCGTTGACTAAGCCTCTTCCACGAGCAAAACATGATCAGCACCAAGACTCCATGGGTGTTAGAATCATTACTGTGTAATCTAGATTATTGACTCTAGTGCAAGTGGGAGACTGAAGGAAATATGCCCTAGAGGCAATAATAAAGTTATTATTTATTTCCTTATATCATGATAAATGTTTATTATTCATGCTAGAATTGTATTAACTGGAAACATAATACATGTGTGAATATATAGACAAACAGAGTGTCACTAGTATGCCTCTACTTGACTAGCTTGTTAATCAAAGATGGTTATGTTTCCTAACTATGGACAAAGAGTTGTTATTTGATTAACGGGATCACATCATTAGTTGAATGATCTGATTGACATGACCCATTCCGTTAGCTTAGCACCCGATCGTTTAGTATGTTGCTATTGCTTTCTTCATGACTTATACATGTTCCTATGACTATGAGATTATGCAACTCCCGTTTACCGGAGGAACACTTTGTGTGCTACCAAACGTCACAACGTAACTGGGTGATTATAAAGGTGCTCTACAGGTGTCTCCAAAGGTACTTGTTGGGTTGGCGTATTTCGAGATTAGGATTTGTCACTCCGAATGTCGGAGAGGTATCTCTGGGTCCTCTCGGTAATGCACATCGCTTAAGCCTTGCAAGCATTGCAACTAATGAGTTAGTTGCGAGATGATGTATTACGGAACGAGTAAAGAGACTTGCCGGTAACGAGATTGAACTAGGTATTGGATACCGACGATCGAATCTCGGGCAAGTAACATACCGATGACAAAGGGAACAACGTATGTTGTTATGCGGTCTGACCGATAAAGATCTTCGTAGAATATGTAGGAACCAATATGGGCATCCAGGTCCCGCTATTGGTTATTGACCGGAGACGTGTCTCGGTCATGTCTACATTGTTCTCGAACCGTAGGGTCCGCACGCTTAAAGTTACGATGACAGTTTCTTTATGAGTTTATGTATTTTGATGTACCGAAGTTTGTTCGGAGTCCCGGATGTGATCATGGACATGACGAGGAGTCTCGGAATGGTCGAGACATAAAGATTGATATATTGGACGACTATATTCGGACACCGGAATTGTTCCGGGTGATTTCGGAGAAAACCAGAGTGCCGGGGGGTTACCGGAACCCCCGGGGAGAGTTAATGGGCCACATGGGCCTTGGTGGGAAGAGAGAGGGGCGGCCAGGGTGGGCCGCGCACCCCCTCTCCCTCTGGTCCGAATTGGACTAGGAGGGGGGCGGCGCCCCCCTTTCCTTCCCCCCTCTCCCCTTCCTTCCCCCTCCTAGTAGGAGTAGGAAAGGAGGAATCCTACTCCTACTAGGAGGAGGATTCCTCCTCCTTGGCGCGCCCCAAGGGGCCGGCTGGCCTCCCCCCTTGCTCCTTTATATACGGGGGCGGGGGGCACCCCATAGACACACAAGTTGATCTTCGTGATCGTTCCTTAGCCGTGTGCGGTGCCCCCCTCCACGATATTACACCTCGATCATATTGTAGCGGTGCTTAGGCGAAGCCCTGCGACGGTTGAACATCAAGATCGTCATCACGCCGTCGTGCTGACGGAACTCCTCCCCGAAGCTTTGCTAGATCGGAGCCCGGGGTTCATCATCGAGTTGTACGTGTGTCAAGAACTCGGAGGTGCCGGAGTAACGGTGCTTGGATCGGTTGGACCGGGAAGACGTACAACTACTTCCTCTATGTTGCATCAACGCTTCCGCTTCGGTCTACGAGGCTATGCATCACCATGATCTTGCGTGTGCATAGGAATTTTTTTGAAATTACTACGTTCCCCAACAGGACGAGGGTGCGCCAAGGGGGGAGTCCTACTCCCACCGGGAGTAGGACTCCCCTTTCCTAGTAGGAGTAGGAGAAGGGGGAAGGGAAGGAGAGGAGAAGGAAGGAGGGGGCGCCGCCCCTCCCTCCTAGTCCAATTCGGACAAGGCTTGGGGGGCGCGCGGCCCAGCCCTAGCCAGCCCCTCTCTCTCCCCCCTAAAGCCATTTAAGGCCCATATACTCCCCGGGGGGTTCCGGTAACCTCCCAGTACTCTGGTATTTATCCGGTGACCCTCGAAACCCTTCCGGTGCCTGAATATAACCTTATAATATATCAATCTTTAAGTCTCAACCATTTAGAGACTCTTCGTCATGTCCGTGATCTCATCCGGGACTCCGAACAACCTTCGGTACATCAAAAACACATAAACTCATAATACCGATCGTCACCGAAAGTTAAGCATGCGGACCCTACGGGTTCGAGAACTATGTAGACATGACCGAGACACATCTCCGGTCAATAACCAATAGCGGAACCTGGATGCTCATATTGGCTCCTACATATTCTGCAAAGATCTTTATCGGTCAAACCGCATAACAACATACGTTGTTCCCTTTGTCATCGGTATGTTACTTGCCCGAGATTTGATCATCGGTATCTCAGTACCTAGTTCAATCTCGTTACCGGCAAGTCTCTTTACTCGTTCCATAATGCATCATCCCATAACTAACTCATTAGTCACATTGCTTGCAAGGCTTATAGTGATGTGCATTACCGAGAGGGCCCAGAGATACCTCTTCGACAATCGGAGTGACAAATCCTAATCTCGATCTATGCCAACTCAACAACTACCATCGGAGACACCTGTAGAGCACATTTATAATCACTTAGTTATGTTGTGACGTTTGGTAGCACACAAAGTGTTCCTCCGGTATTCGGGAGTGGCATAATCTCATAGTCATAGGAACATGTATAAGTCATGAAGAAAGCAATAGCAACAAACTAAACGATCAAGTGCTAAGCTAACGGAATGGGTCAAGTCAATCACATCATTCTCTAATGATGTGATCTCGTTAATCAAATGACAACTCATGTCTATGGTTAGGAAACACAACAATCTTTGATTCAACGAGCTAGTCAAGTAGAGGCATACTAGTGACACTTTGTTTGTCTATGTATTCACACATGTACTAAGTTTTCGGTTAATACAATTCTAGCATGAATAATAAACATTTATCATGATATAAGGAAGAATAAATAACAACTTTATTATTGCCTGTAGGGCATATTTCCTTCAGACGAGGTCGTGCTGGCTAGGGTTTAACCCTAGCATATAGAGCGCCTCCCTTGTTGCCACCGCGAAGCAGGCGTTGGTGACCTCATGCTGCGCGACGGTGGCGGCAGCCGCGACGGCTTCACCCCTCGCGTTCGCGGCGTGCCTCCGGCCCTTCCTCTTGGCTAACTCCGCCGCCCGCTGTTCGGGCGTCAGCGTCTTCTTTGGCTTGGTTGCGTCGGCAGTCTTGCACGGGGCATGAGGCTTCCCTTTGCCGGAGGGGGCGGTCTTCATGTCGGACGAGGCGAGGTAGGCGAGGCCAGCGGCGACGTCGAGGTCGAGGTCGTCGTCCATGGCGGGTGTGGGGCGGGAGCGTGCGTGGGCGGGAGGGTTTTGGGGGAAACGGGGGGGGGGATGATGCTGGCTGCCACCGACCGGCGGGCCCGAGGAGAGGAGTAGGCGCGCGTGCGTGTCCATCTCGTGTCCGCGCCGACGCAAACCCGGCTCAAAAATGGGCCAGGAATGGATCGCCCGCGGACGAAAAGCGGACGCGCGTCCGTTTGGGTCGGCGTGTTGGACCGCCTTTTCTGTCCGCGCCGACCCGAACAGACGGCGGCAGACGAAATGGGTCGGCCCGTTGGAGTTGCTCTAACTGGCCAGGAAGTAAGAAGTGTTGTTTTTGTACTCATGATAATGTAAGTTTGCACATTCTACGTGGTCAGTCATCCAAATAGCATCGAATTTGTATCCGCCGACAGGTGTTGCCAATATTGTTGGTCATTGATTGGACGGTATTTTAAATAGGTTCAAAACATTGATAAGGATGGGAGCGTATGCCTTACTATTGTCGCTTTGGCTAGGTAGACATGATTTGGTTTTTAATGGCACAAATGCTTCTCCTCTGTAGGTTATTTTCCGTTGTACGCACTTGTTTTATATGAGCGGAGTACCAACTGCTATTCAAGGCGGTGTGTACGCGATTGGAGCAAGTAGCTACGGAGGTTTTTACCCAACATGAGTGGCAGCATAAATCTTCGGACCAGTCCACGAGCCGTTTCGACATAGGCATAGTCTATAGGACTCTACTGTTGTCGAATTGTCGGTTTTTTTCCTTTCATTTTATTAGATTTTTTGCGTTTGGCTGTGTGCATTCTATCGGGTGATACTCTAAATGCTTTGTATCGACTTGATGCTACATTTTGAGATGATAAAAGTGTCTTTTATCGAGAAAAAAAAATCCGAAGTCATAGAGTTGGTATGTTCTGTAAAAAAAATAAAATCGAAGTTATTGCCACACACACGACAGTCCTTGCGCGATTTATGGACGACAGAGTCAGCTAAGCCTTTGATCAGGTCTGATCCGTGAATTTGCACCTTTAGATCACCGGTCGTGCAAGCATCGTGCAAGGAGTGTCGTGCTTAAAGTAGTTTCGATCTCACTTAGTCCACTCTCAGAGCCACACGGGAAAGTTAATGAGCAAGAATTAATCAATAGCTCCATTAACTATATACACACAATTTGACATTGACGAGGACAATGGCAGCTAGAGATTGGCGATAGCGTATTTATTATAGCACAACTGTCTCGGTCTTCCTGCAGGAGCCACAAAACTGTGAAGAAAGGGTTGAGCTTTGCGTATCTGTCATTCTGTCTTGGTCTTCCTGCAGGCTCTGCTGCAGCCACAAATCTGTGGGAAAAGGCTTGAGCTCTGAGTTCCTGTCTGCGAGTTACGTGGGGCTAAGCGTTGGTGGATCCATGTGGCCGGAGAGCCCGCTTCTCCGGGACGCCGGCGCTGCCGTGCTCACCGGATGCGTCGCCATGGCGGTGCTCCGCTTCTGGGAGGAGGTCGGCAACCGCGCCCTCTTGGACCAAGTAAGCTCTGCTCGCCACCTAAATAATTCCGTTTTTGTTGTTGTTGTTGGGGATCGATGATTCTTTCAATTCGCACGGAGAAATTCAAACCCTAAACTGCACAAGCCAATTCACAATCGTCTCTCACTTAATGTACTCCAAGAAAGGTTATCTCTCGGCTTCTAGTTGTACTCCTTTTGCCCCACTGGCCAATCATGTAATTAGAAGGCGAAATTAAGCTACCAAAATTATTTAGCATGGTCGAAATGTTTGGAATATTACTAACCTGGTGGTTTAGTTACCAAAGACAATGGAGACTCACATGCAAATTATTGATGAGAGATTGATTGGGGTCCTTTGCTCTGCATTTTTCAGAAACTCTGCAGGAAGCTGGTGCACGTCAGTGTTGGGCTGGTATATTTCCTTATGTGGCCTTTGTTCAGGTAAAGCAGAGCACCAACAAAGCTCTTCATTTGGCATAAACTCTGCGCATTACCTTTCTAACACGTCTTCCCCATTGCAGTGCAGATGATGTCTATGCTCCATTTCTCGCTTCAATTGTCATTGCGCTCAATATCATAAAGGTAACCTTGATTGGATCTGGTGTAGTTAAAGATGACGGCGTGGTTAACTCGATGACAAGAAATGGAGACTACAGGTAGCCTCTCTTTTTCCCGTCTGTGTTACTGTATGTATTACCGAGTTGTTTACATTTACAATATGAACTGACTACATCTTCATGTTTTCTCCATTGTTTCTAGAGAGCTTCTCAAAGGTCCACTCTATTACGCGTGTACTATAACACTCACTACCCTAATCTTTTGGAGGACGTCTCCCATTTCCATCGCTGTGATTTGCAACTTGTGCGCGGGGACGGTACTAGTTTTTTCTCATACAATTACACCCTCCGTCCCATAATATAAGAACGTTTTTTAAACTGTTTTAGCTTGGAAAACGTTCTTATATTATGGGACAGAGGGAGTACATTTTTGTGCGGTACTGCTACGCAATCCAATGATTCTTGGAGCGAAGGTTTCAGAAAACAGCATGACTTTGTATGCTGCTTCTTTCAGGTGTGGCTGACATAGCCGGGAGGCGATTCGGGCATGTGAAGCTCCCTCACAATCCCGACAAATCCTACGCCGGAAGCATCGCAATGTTTTTCGCCGGCTTCATAGCATCGATCCTGTAAGCAACAAGATATGCATACATCCTACTTGACCCTGAAGCCTGAAGTCATCTCTTGTTTTACAGTCTGAAAGACCGCAACTAATACTGAATGTGGTATACCTGCAGTTTCATGTGCTACTTCCACCTTTTCGGGTTCGTGGAGCAGAGCTGGACCATGGTCGCTGCCTTCGGCATCACGTCGCTTGCAGCGGCAATTGTCGAGTCACTTCCTGTCAGCACGCTCTTGGACGATAACCTGACGACTTCGATCGCCTCTGCGCTCGTTGGCGGCCTGGTTTTCTACTATGTTGGTGGTGGTGGCGGCGGCGACGGGAGCAGCATCTTGGCGACTGCTGCGATGGTCTTTGCAGGCAGTAGCTAGTACAGTAAGGGCTAAGGAGAAGTTGCAGTGAATTGAAAGACTTTGGTGGTGTGATGATATACTGCAATGAGTTGCAGTTGCTGAGATGGTCTTTGCAGGCTGTTACTGGGTGTTGGTTAATCCGGTTTGTGTCTCTGATAAAGAGCTCTGAATTAAATTTGGTTTGACAGTGTCATTGTGTGAGCAGCATTGTTCTAAGTTCTGAATAACGTTTGTAGACAGGGTAAAATGTGACACTCCGGGTTCCGGGAGCGGCACTATATACTGTAGATATAGGACCTCCGCTAGCAAATGTATAGTATCAACCCAGGACTGAATCAGACACAATGTGGATGCTACATTCATACACGCAATGTGCACCCCATGTGGGTTAGACGGCAGGTATCATGTGGTCCAGATGGAGAGGCCGCGGTCCTCCTCCTTTTCTAAAAAAAAACATAACTGCAACAGTATATATACAACAAGTCTCGAAAAGTCAAATTAACAAAAGAATGCAATAAAAGAGTTTTATGATCAAATTGCAGCTCTCACAACAGAAGCAAATATACCTTACACGAGTAAAATTTAACAAATATCTTAAGAATGCTAAGGAAAAGCAGATGACGTCTATAACCCTTTTAGACCGACTGTGTGAGAGAACAGTAACAAATGCCTTAGGCCAGAGAGTGGGCTAAGGATTCAGGAGGGAAGACTGCGCTTCAGCGCTGGCAGAATAAGATTAGGCATGTGAGGAGTTTCCTGCGTGGGTGGGCTAAGCATCTTAGCGGGATTTATAAGGTCGAAAAGGAAAGGCTCCTTTCCCTTATTCAGTCCCTGGATGTAAAAGCAGAAACCACGATGCCGCCGGCCGCGGAGCTTCATGCCAAGCTTGATGCGGAATTGAGGCTAAAAGAACTTCTTAGGGAAGAAGAGTTGAAGTGGGCGTTGCGGGCCAAGGTCCGGCGAGTAGTCTAGGGGGACGCGAACACTCAATTCTTTCACATGATCGCTAATGGTAAGCATCGAAAGAAGAGGATCTTTCAGCTTGAGCAAGATGAGGGTACAATTGTATGTTCCTCAACTCACAGCGGTGGAGAATGATATTCTTGCGGCCCCTTTCTCCGAGAAAGAGGTGCTGGAGGCCATTTCGCAAATGAAAAATAACAAGGCGCCGGGCCCCGATGGATTTCCAGCGGAGTTTTATAAGAAATGCTGGCATATCATTAAAGGGGATTTATTGCCTTTGTTCAATGATTTTTTTGCTGGACAGCTTCATCTTTTTCAGCTCAATTTTGGAACGATCACCCTTCTTCCTAAGAAAACAGAGGCTGTGAGAATTGAGCAATTCAGGCCAATCTGTCTTCTTAATGTTAGTTTCAAAATTTTCACCAAGGTCGGGACCAATAGGCTCACACAGATCGCGCATGTTGTTGTGTAGCCTACCCAAACTGCTTTCATGTCGGACAGGAATATCCTTGAGGGGGTAGTGGTCCTTCATGAAACGCTCCATGAAATCCACACGAAAAAGCTGGATGGGGTTGTTTTCAAAGTGGATTTCGAAAAAGCGTATGACAAAGTCAAATGGCCATTCCTTCAACAGGCCTTGCGTATGAAGGGTTTTGATGGGGCTTGGCGACGCCAGGTAGAATCCTTTACGCAAAAAGGGAGTGTTGGAATTAAAGTAAATGATGATATAGGGCATTATTTCCAGACACACAAAGGCCTGAGGCAAGGAGATCCAATGTCCCCTATTTTGTTCAATATTGTGGTTGACATGTTGGCAATTCTCATAGGTAGGGCAAAGGAGGCTGGTCAGGTCGGTGGCTTGGTGCCCAACCTAGTTGATGGGGATGTGTCCATTCTGCAGTACGCTGATGATACAATCATCTTTATGGAGCATGACCTGGCAAAAATGAGAAATATGAAGCTGGTGTTATGCTTATTTGAACAATTGACCGGGTTAAAGATTAACTTTCATAAAAGCGAGTTGTTCTGCTTTGGTAGAGCCAAGGAGGAACAAGAGGCTTATAGGCAATTGTTTGGATGTGAATTAGGGGCTTTACCTTTTACTTACCTAGGTATACCCATTCACCATCGTAAGCTAACGAACAGAGAGTGGAAATGCATCAAAGATCGGTTTGAAAAGAAATTTAGTTGCTGGAAGGGCAAACTTATGTCATATGGAGGCCGGTTAATTCTTATTAATTTGGTGCTCATGAGTATGCCGATGTTCCTACTATCTTTCTTTGAGGTTCCAATGGGGGTTAGGAAAAGGCTGGACTTCTACCGGTCAAGATTTTTTTGGCAGAGTGATGAACTTAAGAGAAAGTATAAACTCGCCAAGTGGGATGTTATTTGTCGACCAAAGGACCAAGGGGGTTTGGGTATCGAGAATCTTGAGGTCAAGAACAGATGCCTGCTTAGTAAGTGGTTGTATAAGCTTTCAGTTCAGACTGACGCAACTTGGGCGCAGATTCTCCGCAACAAGTATCTGCATTCCAAAACTTTGTCACAGGTGACAGTGAGACCAACTGATTCGCCATTTTGGAAGGGGCTTATGAGAGTTAAGGCAGCCTTCTTTAATAGAACAAAGTTTATTGTCGGTGATGGCAATGATACACGGTTCTGGGAGGATACTTGGCTGGGTGATACACCATTGGCACTACAGTACCCAACCCTGTATCGTATTGTCCAGCGACGTGATGCGCTAGTTGCAATGATTATGCAGTCCATTCCCCTTAATATTCAGTTTCGGAGGGTGCTTGTTGGTGATAGATGGGAAGCTTGGCTTCATCTGGTGCGTAGACTGATGGAAGTCCAGCTAGCTCATCAGCCCGATCAGTTGTGTTGGAAACTTACTAGGTCTGGACAATTTACTGTTAAGTCGATGTACATCGATGTTATTAACTCGACTGTCATTCCTAGTTCCAAACATGTTTGGAAAGTAAAAGTTTCTTTGAAAATTAAAGTGTTTATGTGGTTTGTCCATAAACAGGTTATTTTAACAAAGGACAACTTGGTTAAGCGCAATTGGACAGGATCTACTAGGTGTAGTTTCTGTGATCAGGACGAGACCATTAAGCATCTCTTCTTTGAGTGTCCGTTGGCGAGAATTCTGTGGCGCACCGTGCAAATGGCCTTTAACATTACTCCTCCGAGTTCGGTCGGGTCGTTATTTGGAACGTGGCTGGATGGGATAGAGTCCGATACAGCTAGACATATTCATGTAGGAGTTTGTGCGTTGTTATGGGCAATTTGGAACTACAGAAATGATTTGGCTTTTAACAGAATAACTACTATTCATTTTTTGCAGGTTGTATTCCGTGTTACGGCGCTGATCCGTATGTGGTCCTTACTCACTCCGACGGAGGCTAGGGAGCCTTTGGTTACTGGATTTGTCCGGTGGGAGATGGTAGCGCGGGATATCTTCAAGCGGTTTGGATGGCGGTCATGTAATAGGATAGGCAATTAGTTTTCCTATCTTTATTTTGCCAGCCGGTTGTGGCTTTATGGCCTTTTCTTGTTTTGGCGTCGAGGCTCTATGTGAGCTCGCCTTTATTTTGTTTCAAGACTCTATGACATTGTTGAACCTATTTTATTTATTTAAGTGGTCGTATGCATCGTTCTGATGCAGAGGCCGGGGAGTCCCCCCTTTTCGAAAAAAATGCCTTAGGCCAACTCCAACGCACGAACTCATGTCCGCGTTTGTCCGTTTGGGCCAAAGCGTACATAGACACGACCCAACGCATGGCCGCATCCGCAAATTTTGTCCGTTTCACGTCCGGCCCGCCCCATTTCCGGCGCAAACATGTGCTCGGTTTGCGGCCACACGGAGTCGAACGGACGGGCACACGCTTGCTCGTCGTCCGCCTCGGGGACGCATGGCGGCTGACCACCTACCTCCACCGCCCAAATTCAATGTGCACGAGCGGTGGGCCCCGGCTGTCACTCACACGGGTGGATGGCTCGTCTTCCTTCTTAAATGGGAAGCCGTGAACCGGCCAGTCCACAGCTTTCACTTCCTGGTCATCCTGCCTCCTCGAGCCCAGACACGGGCAAACCCTAGCCGCCGGCGCATCCCACTTGCCCACCTTGCCGCCGGCGCCATGGGCTGGCATTGGATCCGCCAGG